GGAATTGCTGAGTTATATTTGGAATTTTAAACATGTCTAAACAGGGCACTTTTTGTGCAACCCTGATTAGGCAATCCTGTAAGTCTTGTGTTGCCACCTTCTGAGTCATTTCTATGACACTCTACTTATTTAGAAAGCACATAATCTAATCTACAGTTTAACATATCTATGGCCAACGGTCCTTCATGCACGTCTTTAGACTTCTCACTAAGTACTCATAAGCACAGAAAAAGATGACATTGAAATTAATAGATTCTGGAAGAAACATGATGAACTCTTTTGAAATAACCAAACTTGCCTTTCTCTAACCTTTCTCTAACTGAACTAAGCTTTCTCTCTCCTTAGCTAGACTTGAACTTATTTCTAATGCTCCCCATCCCTCACCCCTGCCCCAACCTGGAAAGATGGAGAAAAACCATATCTTCACTGTTTGTCTCTGACTCAGATATTCAAAGGTCATAATAGTGCATATGGCAGAGTGGTTATAAGCATGTTTTAACTTCTTTAACTTAGTGAAAATGTGTAGGGAATGTTTAAGATCTATCAGATTGTAGAGGAAAAAACAAATAGAGAAAAATGAAAGTTTGTAGCTGAAGAAATAGTAATGTAGTTTAAGATGGAACAAGCGCAGTTGAAATAGAAGAAATTATCGAAGATGCAATCGAATAAAGTTTTCCTAAGCTTGGAAAAAAACAAAAACAAAAAACAAACCATGGATATGTGATGAAATCTGGCTTCCAGGAAAAATGAACAAAGAGACTCATAGAAAAATACATTCTGGTAAAATTTTTATGTTATAAAGGAAAAGGTTCTAGTAGCATACAGACTGAAAAATTCTGTTGCCCATATAGTAACGAAAAGTAAGCTGCATCATCACACTTATTTATGGAGCATTAAGGCTAAAAGGTAATGTAGCAATGTCTGTATAATTTTGGGAAGAAAAAAATATTGGGACTTACCTGAAAATTTTATGCCCATCCATAGTTAAGCCATTACTACAAGAATTAACAAAAATGTTTCTTCTCCAAAAAAGCAGAGTTATTTTGAGTAACATAGGGGCCATTTTCTACACTTTTTCTTGTCTTTGAAGGTTATATTGAATAATCTCTTTATATTACCTTCAATCTGTGAATGTTTTTACATTAAATTCATTAATATAAGCATATGAAATGGTATCTCAATTATGATAAAATAAAGTCAAGAAAAGATTATTTACCAAGCTAAAATGTTAAGTGACAGGTGATAAGATTGAACATTATCATCATTTTTATATTTTCTAATATTTTCCAATCATTCTACTCTATGCATGAATTACTTATTTTTTCTTTAACTTATTTAAAAATAATTAAAACTTTTTAATGAATACAAATATTTATAAGCCCAAACAGTGAAGTCTTTACAATTTTATATTTGCCAAGTAGCTAAAGTGACTGAAAGGAAGCACACAAAATCTTAGTAGTGAGTTGTTTTATCTTTTTCCATATTTTGCAGATTTTATGTAATGAGTTTCATGCTGCTTTTATGATGGAAAAAAATCCTTTATTCAAAAACAAAAGTTTAGTTTCATTAATTGATGACATTATAAGATGCAGATGTTTCTGCTTATACATCAATCCTGTTTTTCCTAAGACCTATATTAATGTAAATCATATCCTATGTTGGTAGTTTTACTGACACCCTTGAGGTATATCTTTCCAGGAGTTTTCACTGATAGGCACATTGGCCAATGTGTTGTAACATAGAAGAGTTCCAACATTTATTCAGGCAACAAATTATCTATTGAATGCTTACCTTATGCTAGCTGCTGAGAGTACAGTGAGTAACTCAGACATAGTCCCTGTTCTTATGAAATTTAAAATTTGACATTTGAAATTGGTTAAGAAACTGTCAAGGGCTTGGTAGGTGGCAACACACTGTAGAAGCATTCAGCTTTGGCTAGAAGAACAAGAAAGGTTTTCAAAGGAAGCATGGTACCAGATTAGCTAGAGGAGCAGTTGTCCCAGGGAGTTGAAATATGCAAAGATCTGGAGGTGTGACCTACGTTTGGGGAAACAGAAATAGGTGAACACAGCAACAACCAAGAGTTTGATGTTGGGGAGTGATGAGCAATAAAGGCTGGAATCAGTATCCAGGTCATGAAGGGCCTTGTAAATTGAGTTAGGGAATTCAGATTTTGTCCTCTGGGTAATGGGATGCCATTGGATGGTGCATTAGTTTCCTAGGGTTGTTATTGCAACAAATTACCATAAACTTGGTGACTTAAGACAACACAAATCTACTCTTACAGTTTTGGAGGCCAGCAGTTCAAAATCAAGGTGTTGGTAGGTTGGTTCCCTGGAGGCTCTGAGGGAGAATCTGTTCTGTGCCTATCTCCTAGCTTCTGGTGACTGCTAGCCACTCTTCACACTCCTTAACTCGAGGTTTTGTAACTCTAACCTCTGCCCTGGGCTTCACGTGGCTTTCATCTCTCTGTGCCTTCTGTTTTTACTGTCTCATAAGGATACTCATCATTGAATTTAGGTACAACCCTAATCTAGGATGAACTCATTTCAAAATCCTTACTCTAATTACATCTTCAAAGACCTTTATTCCAAATAGGATCACCTTCTGAGACTCATGGTGAACATGTGTCCTTGAGGCCACACAGCGCAACCTGCTACAGAAGGCTTTAGAAGGGCAATTGAACAAACTTACAAATGAAATGACTTATACATTTCAGAATGATTGTTCTGGCTATTGTATGGAGAATGGACTTGAGGGGGCAAGGCTAGAAACAAGGAGATCAGTGGGAATCTAGGTATAGAGTACCAGCAACTTTAGAGGTAAGAAAGTGGAGATGAGACTGAGTGTGGTGGCTCACACCTGCAATCCCAGCACTTTGGGAGGCTGAGGCGGGCAGATCACTTAAGGTCAGGAGTTCAAGACCAGCCTGCGCAACATACCACAACCCTGTCTGTACTAAAAATACAAAAATTAGCTGGGTGTGGTGCACACCTGAAATCCCAGCTACTCAAGAGGCTGAGGCATGAGAATCGCTTAAATTTGGGAGGCGGAGGTTGTAGTGAGCCAAGATTGTGCCATTGCACTCTAGCCTGTGTGATGGAGTAAGGCTCTGTCTCAGAAAAAAAAAATGGTGATGAGTGTAGAAAATACTTTGAAGATGGTTGATTGTGGAAAGAAGAAGATAAAGGGGTGTGGTTGAAGAGCATGTGGTGGTGAGGAGGGAATTTTAAAGGATGGGAGACACCTGGTGCATTTCTCATGCAAATGAGAAAGACACAGCATCCACGAGGGAGAGTGGCTGACAACACAGAAGTGAAAGGCAAAAAGCTAGAGAGGGGAGGAGGATGGGATCCAGAGCTCAGACTGAGTACAAAGCAGCTGATCCATCCCATATTTGATCATTCCTAGATATTTTAGTAGCTCTGGAAAGTTGGTGATGAGAAAGATGGTTTACTCCTGTTTAAGGACTCTGTCAAGTACCACACTGATTACTTTCCTTGTGTTACCTCTGTTAACCTTTGATGTAGCTGTGTTTATTTTCTCCTTTTATAGTTTAGCTCACTGAAGCACAAAGAGGTTAAATAATTTCTGGAAGGCCACACAGATAGTAAGTGGTAGTGTCATTTCAACCAAGCACTGTGACTGCTGATCCCTTGCCTATAACTACTACTACAGTGTACTGCTTCTGAAGGGAGGGGGCATAATCAATATGCACATACTTTATTTTTCATGGTGTGTGTTGGTTTTGATAGCAGGCACTGTTATTATTTTGCAGACTATGAAGTTATTATCTTGCCTGCTATTTTTGTTTTGTTTTGTTCATTCTTATATTGGCTTGCCACTAGGTTGAATCAGTAAGGCAGTATCATTTATTTCTTTATCTTTTCAAGGTGTTGGGATTGGTTTGATTCATCTTTTCTCTATTTATCTGGATAGTAAGGTTAGGCGAGTATTATCCCTTCATATTATTAAGGCTTTGTGTTATTCATATTATTAAATCATATATTAAACCTGCCCAATGATTAAAGCTGCTCTTAGGAGATTCATTTTCATAAGCATATTCACGTATACCCAATTCCCTTGAATCATTCTTAATGACATTTGTTCTGTAATCTAACCCTTTATACAAGTTAATTTCTGGATGTCTTTACTGAATGTTACTTTGGCTCAAATGTCACTTCCTTAGAGGATTCTTTCCTAAATCCCAAACTAGCTCCTCTGGTCTCTCTGTTATATATGCTCATAGCTGAATGCAATGGCTGGGACTCTTTGAGGCGTACTGACCTTAGCCAGGTCAGTTAAAGGGCCAAGTTTTTTGATACTGAGGAGGAGGAGGAGGAGGAGGAGGAGGGGAAGGAGGAAATGGAATTTCATCTTCCAAAATTCTAAAATATTAGCAGTCAAAACTATAATTTGAATTTCTTATATGGATGGCATGAATTATTAATTTTCTTATTGCTGTTGATAACCATGATCAAATTGCACAGTTGGATTTGCAAAATGTATCCAGGAAATGACTTTTCCTCCAATTGCCAATGTTGATGGAAATATCTATCTGAAAATTTGTCTCAAGTGATGATTGTGTAAGCTTTAGGCAGCTGCATTTTTGGAGACTTGCTTTTATAACACTGGTCCACCATGTCCAGCTAAACCCATTTGATTGAACTCTCTCTTTATTGTGTGTTTGAAGTTGAATATTGGGCTGAGGACAGGAGCAAGAAGAGTTGTACTCCAGGTAGAAGAAACTACACATTCAAAGGTATAGATGTCTCTCATCTAAGGAGCCAGCATCGCAGGATGTACTGGCCAACAGTCCTTTTCCTTTCCCCTGTACACAGTCTTGGGGGATGTCAGCCAGAGTCAGGATTTGTAGAGTATTTGTCATTTCTCATTAACAAAAGTAAAGATTCTGAATAGCATTGATCATAATTTGTTAGAACGGAAACTTAGGTCACTCTCATTGTGATAATATTTTTTTCTTTGTGTTCTCTCGCCAGTCACTCCTGAAGCCATTGGCTTCTTGTCTGCTGTTGGGGTCTTTATTGTTCTTCTGGCCGTCCTCTTCCTCTTCATCAACAAGAAACTGTGTTTCGAAACGATAGGAGGCCTTCCTTTCCTGGAGCATCGAGGGAAAAGAAAGCAATCTAAAGACAAGACTGGGATTCGCAAGGGGCTGGGTAAGCATTACGCTTCAGATTCTCCTGGGCTCGGCAACTTGCTGTGGTGTGGGTCAGGGTGGACATGATGAATTGACTTTACTAAAGAATACATTATCTTTATGAAAGTAATGTTCTCCTTAGAGTTCGAGGAGCAGATGGGAAGAGGCTCTGACCACCACTTCCCATTTTCTTAGCTCTTTAGAAGTCTCTGTTGAGTTTTCCTCTGATGAATGCTTGAAGAAAAAATATGTGTTCTGTTTGACAAGAGCTTTAATGTGTTTTAGTCTCATGATGTTAGAACGATGTTGACATTTCACTTGTTAGTTGTTTTTGAGATTTTTCAGTGCTCAGGACTGTGTCTCACCTTGTATGGCAATGGTCATTTTTCCAAAGGGGGATTTTTACTCTTTAAGCTCACTGAGTATACTGTGTCATTTACTCACTGCCTTCAATTTGATGAGGGAAAAATAACACACTTAAAGATATAATTGGCTTCCTGCTCTTAGAGGACATACTCTATTTTCAATTGCTGAAGCATAGAACTTTGTGATACAGGATGTTCTCACAGAGGGATGGTTATCACACAGATGTGGGACATTTAAAGAGAGTACTCTTATCTTACAGATAATAACTTTGCTGTTTTTTTTAATCAGTCTGATTATTACTCTCCTTTTCCATACCCCACAAGGTATGGGGCATGATGTACCTGGTCAAGGAGCAACCTTACATTTTTTTCGAGTGAAGGGAAGGTCTTGAAGAGAGTACCCTCCAGGTATCCTACGTTCTTGGTGTGTTCTAAGTATGCCTGGATCAAGGGGAATATTTGGCTTACTGATATGGCAGCTTTTGTAGCCATGGATAGTTCAGCTTTTTTGCCTTGTTATAAGAAAGGCATAATGTAGGAATAAAGGCATTTATCTATTGCTTATAACAAATTATCCCAAAACTTAGTAACTTAAAACAATAAAAATTCATTGTCTAACAGTTCTTGAAGTTCAGAAATTGAGGAGTGGCTTAGCTGGGTTATTCTAGATCAGGGTCTGTTGTAAGGCTGCAGTTAGAATGTCATCTGAAGGCTTCAGTTAGAATGTCATTTGAAGGCTGGACTGTGGCTGTCAGAGTCCCCTCTGGGATGGCAAAAGGCCTCAGATCAGATCCACGTGGAACCCTCCACAAGGCTTCTTGAGTGCTTTATGATGTGGCAGCTGGCTTTCCCTGGAGTGAGAGATCCATAAGAAAGCAAGGAGGAGCCACCGCTCTTTTTATGCCCTAGCATAGGAAGTCTTACAATGTCACTTTTATCACATTGTGTTTGTTCACTGAGCACAGCTCAAGCTCAAAGTTTGGGAAATTCAGTTCTACTTTTTGAGGGGAAGAGTATCAAAGAGTGTGAGGACATATTTTTAAATCTCTATGTGAGATAATAATAATGAGAGAGGTGTAAATTGCAGATTTGGCAATTGCTTTGGCATTCCTGCTGTTGCATTGGCCTTATTTTTTGAACTTCCCATGGGACATATGACTTATTCTGAAAATAGAATGGAATATTTTAAATAGAGCTTGCTATGCAAAAGCTGGGACTTATGAATGATTTAGACACTACTGTCCCAGCTGGGACATAGGTGAGTGAGATGAACAGATGTCTGTTTGGCCATGGGTTGGTATGAAGGTAGGATTCATCATGATTCTGTTTCTGTCCCTTCAGCAGCTGGCTGTCACTCATTATGTGACCTTGGCAAATTATGGAACCATTACGAACTTCAGTTTCCTTGTTTGCATATTGGGATTATCAGTACGTCTCTCATAGGGTCAACCTAGATTAAATTAATTAATTCTGTAGAGACACCAGCATAGTGCCTATAGCAATGCAACAGCAATAGCAAGTCACAGTGATGGCTGCTAGGAATGACATTACACATTCATGAATTGTATTCATTACTTAAATTGGTAGGTTAAAGTTGGTGATGTTTTCTCCTTTGCAAACTATAATGGGTATGAGGAACTGAAGTTAGAACTATTTAAAATATTTCCTTTTTGTCTCGTTTGACATTTTATCTGAATATTTTAGAGACAATTATGAATTATACTTGCAAATAAGTTGAGGTTTTAAGAATGTTGAAACAATAACAATAAAGCATGAACAAAAGCTGTTCACTCAGGAAACACTGAAAAATACATGTCTCAAATTCAGAGTGGGGTCATGTAAAGGGAGCTTTAAAAATAGTTTCTTCAAGAGCATCCCCAAATTATAATGTCTAAAAAGCAAACACCTTCACTTTGACATTTCTCCTTTTACAAGTTTAATTATTGTTATCAAAAGTCTTTGAAAAACATGCTTCTACCCCAGATTGTGTCTAACCTTTGATATTTGCCTTAATTATCCTCAGAGTACTGATTTCTCGGTGAAGTTGGGATGTTCTTAACATATTTTGACAAACATAAAGAAGGAAGGCAGGCAGCCTGGTGTGGTGGGAAGAAGCCCAGTACAGACAGACAGAGCTTAGTTTTGCCACTAATTGGCCACGATATTTTGGGAAACTCACTTCACCTCTCTGAGCCTTAAGTCCTCATTTGCAGATTGATGAGTCTGGACTAGGCTTCTCCCATTCTCATTCTGTGATTCTGTTTGGTTCTTCGGGTTACCATAGCAACTTCTTCTCTAGCTTTCAGTCTATGAATGGAAGATAACTAATAAAAATGAGACCATCCTACTCTTAGATTAAACCATATGAGATTGCCATTTTTGTTGATCAAAAAATGATAGAATATCAGAAACTGAATGAATCATTTTAATCTAATATATGTGATGTTCTGAAGAATAAAATAATTCTTTTCGATTATGTGGTAACACCAGAGAGGCAAGAGTGGATGTTTATTTTCCAAACCTACTATGCAAAATGATTTGCTTGACAAAAATACCTTGCTTTCCTTTAGGCTATATATCTTTTAAAGTTTAAAGAATTTACAGACGTCATTCTGCCTGGATTTAGGCAAGGGGACAAAGAAACTGGAATGGTGTTTTCCTAATAACATAGGTAATAGTAATAATAATAATACAGATAATGATCATTGGTAACTATCATTTATTTAGCAATTACTATTATCAAGTATTTTACATGCATTGTTATTCTAAGTATTTTACATGCATTATTTGATTTCTTTATGTAATGTTCTTGTGTTGTTCATTGACAATGATTGCTTTGGGGGAAGGATGAATATCATTTGGAACAAAAAAGCCAATATTCAGATTTGAGATAAAAAATTGATTAAAAATAAAAATTTCACAGTGAGATAATAGTTTTTAAAAGAAGCCCAGCTTTGAGAGAAGAGGGGGAGAGAGAGAGAATATTTTTGTTGTTTTGTTTTGTTTGCTGTCCCCCCGCAAAAAAAACTTTATATTCCAAAAGCAAAATTTAGGAGTTGGTACAAAGAGCTTCATTTTAAGAGGCACAATATAGAAAGCATAGACAATGTAACATGAGGGCATTTCCTCCCAGGCAGGCAAGGGAAGAAGAATGCCCTTCCTCTTCTGGAAAGGGCAGACCATGACTTGAAAAGGTGAAAGGAAAGAGGTTTGGAGACCATGAAATGTTTCCTGGACCAGACCCTGAGAAGGAGGACAGATGTGGGACCCAGTCAGGCCAGTTGTGATAAGAAGGTTGGAATTCAGCACGTCCCACAAAGAGTTGGAAAGGAGAGTGCCGCGTGCTTCTTTTTGGAATTGTGGCAGGAGACTGCCTCACTGGTGTCCCATGTAGGCCTGGGGGGCTGTGGTGGGGCGAATATACTGGTGGTGCTGGAGGGAGAGAGAACTTGACAAGACGCCGCTGCTACAGTTCCTCTGGTGAGCAGGAGAACACTTGTTTTAGAAATTTCTGCCTGACCCTGGCGGTGGGAGCAGGGGCAAAGAAGATAGCAGAGGAATGAGTCAATGTGCCTGCCGGCAGTTATTGCAGCTTGCCGTGAGGTGGGCCTGTATTGGAGGCTGGAGGATGAACAGTCCAAGGCTTTTTGTAGTCAGAGCTGGCTTCATGGGCATGGAACTGCACAACTGCCCAAAGCCTACACTTAGAAGGGCCCCTGTGCTTGGCTTAGTGATGATGTGCTGTTGCAGTCTTGAAATTCTTAGTGATTTTCAAGGGCCCTGCATTTTCATTTTGCACTGAGTCTTGCAAATTATATAGCTTGTGCTGCCTAGGGTCATCACCAAGAGGTACTCCTGCTATGGAATGCTGTAAGGCAGAGGTTGATTCTCCTGGAGTCAGCAGGAGCCAGCAGGAACAGCACATCATGTTAAATAAACTCACACCAATGCCCAGAGGTTCCCTGCTGTAAGAGAACATGAAGGTGGGAGTGGAAATCCCAAAGACTGATACTTTATCCAAAATGAAATTGACTGAGTTACTTTGAGTGGCAAGTTTAAGTTTAGTTTCTCAACACTGAGCATGGGAAGGTGGAGGATTCTCCAGAGAAAGATAAGAGCACCGAGTAAGTAAGGAAACAGGTTTTGTACATTGTGGCAAAGCTGGTGCTTAGCTGGAGCTCAGAAGGATGGTTGCTAAAATGTGACAATTTATCCCTACCAGCTGGTAGAAAGACCCAACTAGCTGGTTCCTGCACAAGATTACCCTCTCCTCTCTACCTGCAACTAAACAGCTACCTTCTGAGTCAGCAGGGGCTTCTGACCTGTCCCAGCAGCTGTGGCCAGATTCTTTTTGCTTGGGCCATAATGACTGCTGTTATCAAATACTTTTCATTTTATTTCTGCATTTAGGTGAGAGTATGTTCAAGTACAGGTGCTCCTCCACTTACAATGGGGTTAATTACAGATAAACTCATCATAAATCGAGAATTTTAGATAAAGACAAAAAAACATATGTTAAACCAGTGTAAGTTGGGGACCATCTGTGCACCTTTCCCACTCACAATTCAACAAACAGGTGCTAGTATCATCTCCATTTTATAGATGAGAAAACCGAGGTGAGAGAGATGAATTCTTTTTTTTTTTTTTTTTCAAG